TACGGATCAGTGATTAGCAATCACGGACTGGAACACACTGGCACATGCACGCAATATCCCACGTAACCGAGATGCGAGGAAAAGGCCACAGGAATAGCAGTTCGTTTATTGAAGGATGATAAGGATGATTGAATAATATCTACAAAATAAATTCATTATCATTAGCGTTTTCCAATCACGTTCTAGTATATCTGCCGTTGTTCAGCTTCTGTCAGGGTTGCACGGTTTCTCATTGGTTGATACAGTCGGCCTATGGTTTGTAGTCCAGAAGTTGTGGTAGACACACGCGCTTTGCTGACGTCATCCGTGAAGCTTGATTGATCGCAGTTTTCCTAAAACTGTAACGTGTCGCTCCGTGGTATGCGTCATCTCTAGAAGGCTGGGATCACCACAGTGTGTCAACGACCGGACGGGATTCTCGTGATGCTGATATTCAGTATACTCAAATAATATCCAAATCGGGCTTCTGGGATTTTTAGCAGCGGTTTGAGAGGCAAATCGTGCAGACACGGTCTGACAGACACAGACCCCTTCCGGTTTTGGCGTTACTGTGTGCGAAAGGGAATTTGGAGTTCTGGTGACGTCCTTATTGCAAACCCAAGGTGGCTTTCATCCCCAAATGGAGCTTCCTGGGACCGACTCGCAGTGATTTCTTCCGACTACCCTTGGACGAGTTTCGATTGCTATATACTTGCCCCGTCAAACCGATACTAGTTGTGGTCCGACTGTGCTGTGAGAGAACAATGCAAGGCTGTTCATGTTACGATCATCTACAGCATGTTGTCACTGAACTGTTTGTTGGACTATGGGTTACTGACCAATGGTTTGTTTCCCGTTGCGTTTTGAATAGTGCTAGTGGATCTGATGTGCATGAGGAACATCGTAAGAGCGCAATCGGCGTGCTCGGGACTTCACTATCACGGGCTTTTACGCACTTAGGGCAAATCTCTCAAATTTGTCATTTTTCATTCTTTTTTATTGAATACATATAATGATATCATTTTCAGGACAGGGAAAACAGCCAATCAGAGGGCTGCCATACAACACACAGAGAATGGAGGAAGTCAGGCGGTAGTGGTGGTGGTGGGATTCGAACACACGTCCATCGAGGTGATGATTTGGTAGACGTTACAACCGGGCCCCTACCGCCCACATTGTAGAACTTTCCTCTGACTTTACAGTAGCGTAATAATTCAATGAAACTCGCTTCTAGCGCCAGTAGCGGAGAAAGCGACCTACAGAGCTAAATTCCAGTGGCGTTTGAACAGTTATCCACAGGATATGTTGAGAGGCAAACTGATGTGATCGATAATTCGCCTTGGTGACGATAAAACTTACAAAGGCATTGTCCTCGTCTCCACCCTCAAAACTGCCTGTTTTCATTGAACCACTAGACAAGTTGGTCTGCTATGTACATAAAAGTACGTTCAGCTGATCCATACATTCAATGGAAACGCACTCAATGATCTGGCAAAATTGTGACTATATTTGTTAGTAGAATCGGTTTGTTCACTTACGTCAATTCTTTTTTTATGTTAATCGCCTCGGATGTATGTGTCTTAGTTGGAACTTTGCTGATTGTTATGTTGCGTTTAAGTGAGTACACGTGATCGGTTTATGGGCCGATGAGCAGGCGGGGAGGTATGTAGACAGGTAGGTAAACTAGCAACAGGCGCCAGCTGTAAGCGAAAACGGAACGCGGTCAGACAGTAGAACACTTACATCTGATGCGCTGAAGTGAATCCGTCTTTTTACGTAGTAAGTTTGTATGATATGCGTGGGTGAGTGCGTGCGGAAGCAGGCAACATCAGCCAATCAGTCGATCCGGCTATGGACGTGCACGATAAACGCATCAGCCAAAACACCTCCGCTTCCCACAAGAAGTGAAAATTAACGGTTTCACAGAAATAAAATAAAATAAAGCTATGAATGCTGACGAGACACGACGATGTCTTGCGGTTCCAGTGGCCAATCTGGTCCAGATTTAGGGAAAAGTGAATCCCGCGGTGACGTCACCGAATGTGCTCTGTTCGCATAACCCAGTTCTATTGGCAGGGGAAGTTTTGAATGCGTGATGATGACTGTCAGCGTGTTGTACATCACTTCGTCTTCTCATAATTATTGAGTCATATACAAATTTACAGGCAAGTAGGATGTACACATTCCTTATTTCTTTATGCATGACAGTTCTTGGCTCACTCTTCCTCCGTCTAGGATTTTCAAATCCTTCCGTATTGACCAACGCCGAGTTGTCTAACATCACACTGGGTTTAACGTGAACTAATTACGTTATCTGTTTGTCTCTGCTGACAGAACCACCTCCGAAAATATAGCGGATTCTGATAGTTGTGTTTTGGATTGGTTCGCGGTTTATGATGGCGATTTTTGCGCACTGCGAATTCATCTTCTTTCATTGCATTTTATCAAATAGGCGGCAATTATAGAGTCAAGTAGTAGGTAGACGTATGGGACTAATAGACGGGTTGTAGAAGAAGGAACACTATATGCGATTCAGAGATCGTTGGGGCTGCTGTTCGAACACACATATATGACATTGATCATGATGACATATTGATGATGACACGGTGATCTACATATCTAGTCGATTGTCACCCCACAGGTAAGAAAAAGCGATAGCAAGCAAGGAAGTATTTGTCACACACACACACACAGACTGACCAATTTTGTACAAATTAACCCGTGGAAAAATCATTGGTTGAGACTTCAGATTCTGGAATTCAGAAGGTGTCGAGCTGTTTTTAACATACAGGTATCCGTTGTCTGCCGCGCACCCTCTATGTAATACTAAACACGATCTGTTTCAAGTAGCTGTATTGACTTCGGAGTACTACACATTGCACTGACAGAACCGACACGGATTTGGAACAACACAAATCACTAAACTGGAACGGGTTGACTGTAATTATGTGAAAAAGAATTACAGGGTAAATGGGTGAAAAAGCAGATTAATAATTATTCGGGCCTGTCGATATTGGTAAGATCGATAGCGAGATCGATCAGTCTCATGTGACACCCGATGCGAACGAGCTGTGGCACGATTTGAGCTCTGATCACACGCATACCATACGTTTTTGCTAGCTGTGATCTGGTTTTGCTGTATTGATCTGCATGAAGATGCTGCTTCAACGAACGAGTGGTAGCGTTGTACATTCTGCCATAATATGAAAACGTATGTTGAGCTAATCTCAGGGGCATAAACGTTCTATCCGAATTGGTGTTCAAGTGGTTGGCATTGAGCGTGTAAAATCAAGGATTTTTAGTTTCTGCAGGGAGAATAGGATTTCCTCAGGAGAACAATACTAAACAATGGTTACCCAGAAAGGTTTATAGGTATTCCTATTTAGCCATTCCCAAAAGCCAACCTAATCCAAAATGTTAGCAAAAAAGACCATCTACTTAAAGCTTGTGTTCAAAGATGACCACATTTACAATGATGTGCTCCACAAATTGAGTTCAGCTATAGACCGTACATTCCCAGCTGCTCAACTCAGATTCATTGCCTCTACTCTTGGAATCGATCTGGACAAACGTAAACATGGCTGGCAAACCGGTTCTGTCTCATACACTGTATACCAGTTCACCTGCAGTTGCGCTGACGCATACATAGGCAGAACAAACTGTCAGCTCTCGTAACAGGTTGTCGAACATATTCCTAAGTGGTTGGTGAAATTCAGGACGCAACTCATCATTGATGGTCAAGCGATTACAATAAATCTAGGATTGTCTATTGCAAAACATCTCATGACAACAAGACGCACAGTCGACCCCAATTCGTCTTTCAAACCACTTTAACGTAATCGTAATGCTAAACACTTGGCAACTAGTGAAGCGCTGCTTATTCAGTTACATCACTCGACCTTATATGCACAAGCGTTTTCGATGCAGTCAATCCAATTAACGTATGGTTGACCTTCTACTTCCAAATTTAGTCATCTTTGAATGCTTGTACACGTTCATTCACCATAACTGAATAACCCCATGTATTATATATATATATATATATACGCTCGTTTGTTTTAAGTAAGCGATTGAGAAGATGAAACAAAATATTAACATCTCGAGACATTTGTCTTCCTTCTATATTGAGGAAGTGTGTCAGTCAGAAAATGTACCACTCACTCAATTGGTTGTCATTGTTTTCCTCTCCAGACCGGCAGGTAGCTGCCTCATGGCGTTGTTTGTGTATGAATGTGGGCCAAATCGATCACGGCCTTATATGAAACCTCTTGTATTCAAATTAAAATATTCAATTTGGTTAATTTAGATTGAAAGGTTCCGCTACTCAAGTAACATAACTATGGTCGGTGTTGTGCACTGAATAGTGTTTATGGGGCATTCGCACAGTTTAAACATATCATTATAGATACCCACAGAATAGCAGAGTGATATGAGCATGTTTTGAAACACCTATAACAAAGTTGAAACGAAATCCATTGTCAGTAAATTAAATCGATTTATTTCCATTCGTGTGCTTAAAGAGTTCAAGCTTCAGTTCCTAGCTAATCAATCTTTATGACTGCGTTACCCGCAAAGCAAATTTAACATTGTTGCTTTGTGTTTATCCTGAGATGCTTCAAGGTATCTGTATGCCCCCCCGCACACACAAACACACACATTCAATCACTATTCGCACGTAGTATGTCAGTATAGGTCAATGCTTGTTTCTTCTTATTGAAGACCAAATAGCAACAATGAAAAGGACTTCACCAGTCGGTTGTTCCCTGAGGGACTTGTATTGACCATGGCAACGCGTCATTTATTGCCAATGGTTACGCATATTTGATTGGTTCACAATCAGCTTTGCATAAACCGATTGCAAATTACGTCTAGGGTCATGCAAAGGCATACACATACACATACACACAAACTTTCATTCATTCAAACCACGATCTTCACTAACTGGGCACTGAACTGATAAGAGCTGTGAACGCAGATTTCATAGTGTAAAAATAGATTGCCAACTCCTAGGGGTTTGAGCCATGGCTCGGAACTTCCCAGCGGATACCCGTGGTCAGCGGGCGCTGGAGGAATTGTACGAGAAAGAATTACGTACACAACTGGTCTGGTTTCTGAAAAGCGAAAAAGCCAAAAAAGACAACCCCGGAAAAGTGATCAGTCCGGCGGCGATTGTGGACACGCCGACCCCGAAAATAGAAGATGTGTTACCGGCACACATGGTCGAGAAAATTCGTCAGATAAGACAAGAGGAGCGGAAATTCGGGAAAAAGTCAAACACCTCAACCACGTTGATGCCCGTCGTTAGTGCGGATTCCTTGGATGAACCTGTGCCAGACATGGTCCCGCCTGATCGAACCACGCAAATGATTCTTTATGACGGCATATCTAAAGAAGGTCGAGGAAGGTGAGATCACTAATTTTAATCGTCATAGTTTTGTCTAAAGTGCATTTTTGACCTGATGGATTTCTTTTACCCACTTGCTGATTTCCAACCTTCATTTGTTTTACATCCACAATTTATTTTATCACTGAGGAAACGGGAATACTTTTTGATGCTCGTTTCAAACTAGAAAGAAAAGGGGTCCCGAATTTCGAGACGCATGCCAAAGTGACTTTCAAGGATGTTTCATTGCGAATGATGGGTCAGTCAGCTTGGTAAATTCGTACAAATAGTAGTGATAGTAGTATTGTCATATTGTTCTACTAACATCAATGAGCAGTATATTTTTGTGCCCATGGAAAGTTATTTTGTGGATTCTAAAGGAATTCCAAAATAGGCAAACATCCGGGGGCGAATAAGTGAACTTAGTATTATAGTAACGGAAGTTGCAACCCGGTTGTTGAATTGTCTGACAGCTGATCCGGAGTTTTATAGGAAACTGCCAGCCGATTGTTTCAGATTGCATGTTCTGCTCCGTGCAATTCGGTGCTCCGTCCACCGATGTCGTTTTTCTAATAAACAATTCCTCAGTTCGACAATGACCTTGCAGATTTATAGCAGCGGTAGAAGTAGTAGTAGTAGTAGTAGTAGTAGTAGTAGTAGTAGTAGTAGTAGTAGTAGTAGTAATACCATTTTTGTCAATAATAGTATTATCAATGAGCAATATCGGTAACAGTTGATTGGTTTTCACTGTTTCTAATTGTGATTATTGTTGTTAAGTTCGTTGCTGTGGCTTTTGTGGCCGTCATTGTTGTTTTTCTGGTTTTGGTCGCGATGTTGGTGGTTGTTGTTGTTGTTGTTGTATTTGCCAAGGTTGATCTTTATTGTTGAAAGGTAAATACTTAACCCCACGCACAGTTGTGGATGATAGTGGATAAACTTGTGCTCGGTTTAACCAAGAAGAGGAAAACACGTAAATATTTTTTCCATCTACCGCATTCATTGATTACCTTATTGTGGTGGGCACCGTTATTTTGCATACAAATTCAGTATAGATCCTGTCATCTCAAAGCTGAGTCTCGAAACTTTGATGGGAATGCTATAAGATTAAATTAATCACTTTATGATGAACCAAACACGACACCTCTGATTGGGAGTAGTAAATCTGAAAAATGCAATGGCTCGTGAGTGAGGCCGGTACAGTTTCAGTCCATGTAAGAGCACAGGTCAACGAGACAGCCATATACCGTAACTTGTATTAACGGGATCGCAGGGGTTTATCCAAACGGAACATTCGAAACAGATGTGCCCACTCACTCGTGGTACTGGTTGTTCACCGTGTAGTTCTGGGCTAACGCGATTTTCGCCCGAGCCGAGAACTAGTAGGGATAAATGAATTGTGCACTACTAGCACTTCTCAATAAGGTGAAAAAACTATCCTCGGCCAATGTGTAATCCCGCTCATGTTCCAAGTTGCCTCATATTTCATGAAGATCATTCAGCTAATGTTCCGTGTAAGTTCATCAAACTAACACTAAAAACACTCACACATTGATTATTTCACTCTTATGATAAATGGTTACTGAGGCAACACCTCTATCAGCTCCGGCTCCACATGCACACACACACAAATGTATTCAGTTCCAATGTACTATATTTATGACTCTTGTTCCATGTAAATACTCGTCTACAATCTAAGAAAGCATATCAGAAAGTACACGAAAAATCTTCAGATCAGGTCTACCAACGAG